CAGACTTGCCTGGCTTCTTTCACCTCCTTCCTGTGGTTCTCTGCTAAAAGGTGCCTTAGACTTGTGGCAAGCCTTTGAGACTCAGCAGCCCCACTTTGTTGGGTTGTTTTTTTTTTTAAGATTTATTTATTTATTTATTTATACAAGCACTGGGTACAGTCAGAAGCATGGGAAGGTGAGAGGATTCACCAGAGCCAGAGCGGGGAACAGAACAGGCAGACTTGACGAAACACACTGCTGAGGGGAGCAGCAGGTGCAGCAGGAGAGGTCTGTGTGCCATATGGGACCCTCACTGGCCGCTGGGGAATGAACTGGTGCTGCAGAGGCTGCAGGCAGCTTCGAACAACCACTGCGCCACCAGAGGAGTCCCAGCAGCCCCACTTTGGCTGAGCATTTGCCTATGAAAGGAAGAGGATTTGGGGTGATTTATTGGGGAAAATATCTTCTCTTCCCTCCTCTATGTACGCTAGTTCTATTAAAGTGCTTTTACACTAAAAGCCTGCTTTGCCTTTATATGGCAAATGGCAGGACTCCAATTTAGAGCGTGAAAGATTGGGGTCCCTAGGCACCCCTTGGTCATGTGTTAACAGAGCTGGGATTTGAACTTACTTGCTTGGACCCCAGTCTCTGCCTTCTTCCCTCAGCCTTTGCATAAAGAAAGGCCAGGATGGGGCTTCCCTGGTGGCACAAGGGTTTAAGTCTCAGCACTATCAAGCTATCAGCAGCCACTGCAGCAAGAGTTCAATCCCCAGCCAGAGAGCTACCCACACGGCACAGCAGACCTCTCCTGTCTTGCCTGCTGCTCCCCTCAGCAGTGTATTTCAGTCAAACCACCTGTTCTATTCCCCACTCTGTCTCTGGTGAATCCTTTCACCACCACCCCCCAACCCCCATCGTACCTCTGGGCTAAACCCCAGCTCTTGTTTTCATAAATAAATTAAAAAATGAAAATAATAAAAAGAAAGGCCAGGATGATGGCTTAGCGATTCTTCTCTGGTAACAGAGGAGAGGGTGGGAGGTGCACAGCCCTCCTCTGGACTTTGAGGTTTAGCAACACCAAGATCTTTTGCATATGCCAAGTGATTTGTGCACTTCCAAAGCACATTCGCATACACTAGCACATACCAAACCCTTTTGGAAGGTACTGTTATCCTCATTTTACAGAAGAAGAAACTGAAATAAGACTAGCTACCCCAATCGTGGTGCATAGGGATTTCTAGAATTCTCCTGGTTCCCAGTAGAGTGCTATTTTTGTTGCATGTATTCTGTCTGCATGCTGGAGGATGGGGTGGAGGCCAAAAGGGGAAAAAGAGACAGGAAGGAGAGGAAAACTAGCATGGAGGCTGCTGACAGTGTGTAGAAGACCAGGCCAGTGCGGCAGGGGCAGGGCCTCCTGTGGAGTCAGGACGCCCCAGGTGCAGACCTGTGGTGGCCTCCTTACTTTACCAGAAACATTTGCAGCTGCACTGACACTGCAAAGGGGGTTGGGGGCAGGGCTGGGACATGGGGAAAGGGGAGGGGAGTCACAGAGTTTATTCTTTGGGAAGCTGAGTCTTGGAGGCTGACCCATGGCCACTATAGCCACATTCTCCCTAGTCCCATGACCACTTTCTGCAACCTTCAGAAGGTGGTTTCTGCCCCCCGCCCATTCCATGGAAGATATGACACCAAACTTCAGAGCCTAGTTTGGGCTCAGCCAGCTGGCACCTGCAGCCCCTTGGAGAAACTGTCACCCACAGAGTAGAGCAGAAAGAACTCATCCCCACCACACCCTATTCCCTTCAAAGGCAGAACTCCACCCTGGGGTAAGCCGGAGCAGAGAAACCTAATTTCCTTTGTGGGAGGGGTAGCTGTAGGGGCTCAGACCTGAACCATAGGACCTTTTTTTGGTGGGGAAGATAGGGCAGGGGAATTTGTGAGCCTACCTAAACCCCTGCTCTGCCCTGTGGTGATCAGAAGACCAGGTCCAGTGGGAAACGCTCAATGTGACTGCAGGCCTGAATGAGCACAGCATGGCTTCTCCCCTAACACACTTCACTTGGTCAGGCCCTTGACCTCCTGAACTTCTGGACAGTGGACGATGGAAGAGGCTGTCAGGTCTGTGGCAGGACCGAGAGTGGGGGTCCCCAGAGAGGCCTTCCCCTCTGTTGGCCTATCTCTCTCTCAGAACTATTCCCTCACTACCATCCAGCCATGATAACTAGGCTGCAAAATGGCCTCTGGGACTTCTGCCTCCTTCAGTTTGCTCCCTCATCTTGTCCCTCCCACACTGTTCTGTGTTGGTCTGTGTGACCAATAGAGCAAGGCAGAGGAATGGTGTGTCCGTTTCCAGGTTAGCTGATATTATAGCTTTTGTTGTTATGTTGTGTGCAAACTTTGAGGAAGTCTAGGTTGAGGGAAAACCAGAACTTCTGGCCAGCAGCTACCTGAGGGAAACTTCTTGAAAGCAGATGTCCCAGCCAAATCAAACTTTCAGATGACCACAACTCCATGTCTTGGTAGCAGCCTCACAAGAAACTCTGCTCCTCATCTAAACTGTTCCCGAGTTCCTGACCATGTGAGATTTTACATATAAATATTTTATATCTGTTATACATAATAGATAGATGATTTTTATACATAGTATATATATATTACATATAGAGTTTTAAAATACTAAGTTTGTGGGTGACTTGTTAGCTGGCAGTGGATGACCAATACACACACCCCTGCCTCTCAGCAAGGACCTCAGAGGATTTCCATCCAGTCCAAGGCCCCTTCTGAAGGTCCCTGAGCTCCCAGCCGTCTGTCCCCCCACCCCCTGCCCCAGAACTCCAGCCTGGAACCCTGGAGATGTGGAATGAATTAACCTAGTTCCCAGGAAGACCTCAAGAGGATGGAAAAGGGCCAGAGGCTGTCCTGCTGGATGGAGAATGGAGCTGGGGGGAGGCGCAGGGGCAGGGATGTGTCACCTCCCACAGAGGAGGGATGAGATTTACTGAGGGGAGTGCTGTGTGCACAAGCCCCCTCCTCTTCCTTCTGCCCATTCTCTTCTCTTCCTTAATGGGTGGCAGGACAAGGCAACCCTTCTCTCTATGTGTGTTCCCTTACTGCAGTAGCCTGGGGAAGTCCCCCACAGTGGCTGCTGAGTCCTTGACAAATATTCATAAACCCAAAGGGCATAGGATGTTACTTAACAGAGAAGAAAAATGCCACCCACAGAACTTTCCAGGAAACCCCTGGCCTGTTAAAAAATGGGGGCTTCCACTGCGGTTACAGAGAGAAGGGTCCTGTGGCATTGCTGAGGCGTGTCCTGGGTACTGGCAAAGGTTGGGAACGACACTCAGAGGCCTTTCAAAGGGACTCTGGGACTTCACCTTCCAGTGTGATCACCAAGTTGCCTTTGTGTGACACTGTTTCTCTTCCTGTGACAAGGCAAGTGTCTCCGTCATCCTAAGGCTCAGAACCTCAGGTTGCCTGAAAATGGCTCACTCTTTGGGCTTGGGAGAGTTCCATTCTCCCCTTTGCATAGAACAAAAAGATCCATCTTTGTCCTTGGTCCCCAAGGCTCACCATGCCTCCATGGGGTTAGGTCTGTAGCCTCAGGGATTGTCTGTGTGTCACTGTGGGACACCTGGCAGGCTCCCATTCTCTGGTAATAGTCTTCCCCTCCTGTCCAGGGGTAATGTTCCCTGACAGAGCTTTCTGTGGCCAAAGTCCAGAACTCTTTACACATTGCAGGCAGAGGTCTAGGTCCCCAGGCCAGGCCGTGGGGGTGCTGTGGGCTGAGGCTGTGTCTCAAGACTCATGCATGAGTCCCAAGAGAGAGACATGGGGGGTGGGGAGGGGGGAGGCAGGCTGTGGGTCTCCTGTATCATTCCAGACATGACATGAATGGGCCTGTTCCCACCTAGCCAAATGACTAATGAAGTACATCCATGCAGGGAGCACTTCTCAGCGTCAAAACCCTTTTATTACGTGATACTCAGAACAACTCACTTTGGTTGGTCATTATCATTATCCTATTTAATATCTTGTTGACTAGATGAGGAAACTGAAGCTCGGGGAGATTGGCTCTGATTCCAGCTGCAGAGGTGGGATCAGAAGGCAGGTCTCCTGACCCCCAAAGCTGCAAGAGCCAGCTGTCTTGCTGACTGTTTTTCCCCACACCCACATGGGGCCTTTGTTCACAGTGCTCCCCTTTGTCAGACTTGGACCATAACCTTGCCAGGACCAGAGCTGTGTGTCCTGAGGCATGTACTGTTCAGTCCCTTGCCTGGAGGGCGCACAGGGTATGTGACAGCTGCTGAAGGCAACTGTAAGCAGTCCATATCAAGAGTGCACCCCACAAAAAACGCCTGCCTGGGGGGATTTGGGGCCCACCTTGTCCCCTGCCCTATTAATCTCCCCTGGACTGCCAGGTGCCCGCCAGTGGTGTGACAAACAATGGCCACTGGGTGGCGGTGTGTTCTCATGGCTGGGAACAGACAGGTCATGGGCAGAAGAAAGTGGGGGTTGGGCATAGAAGGCAGGCACTTTAGTCTAGCCTGCCCAGAAAGGTTGCAAGACCCGATCTCCTGGAAAACGTGACTTGGCAGGGGTGTGTGTGTGTGTGTGTGTGTGTGTGTGTGTGTGTGTGTTGCTGTCAGAGGGTCAAGGATCCTGCTGAAGTGAAGCTGAGCATGGGGAGGGGTGAGGTGGGCCAGAGGGACAAAAATATAAAGGAAACCAGGGCAGTGAGCATGAAGCAAGCAGTGAGCATACCTGGGAGAGGGCTGGAGATGTAAGGGGTGAGGCCATTTTGCAGCTTCAGAAAAATGACTACTCACAGGACAGAAAGCAAGCAAGAGAGAGACCAAGGAAGAGACACAAAGAGGTCAGAGACAGAAAAGGGGAAGATGAAAGAGTCTGGTTAAAGAAAATAAATCAGAAGGTTCGGGTGAGAGATGGGAGCCCCCAGAGGTTGGGGAGAGACTGGAACCTCCACTGGGCAAGAAGAAGCCAGACTCAGGCTTGCTGCTAAATGGGGTTTATTTGGAAGGGGCTGCACGTGGAGACTGGCTGGTTTCCTCAGCTCCAGGTCAGGGCAGTTCTGGCTCCAGTGTGGCCTCCGGTACCAGTTCCGGCTCGGACTCTGGCTCGGACTCTGGCTCTGGCCCTGGTTCTTCCTGCTCCAGTTCCGGCTCTGGTTCTTCCTGCTCCAGCTCCCCTATCTTGCTCTGAGCTGGAGGTGGGTGAATGCCATGCTCCAAGGCCGAGAATCTTCTTGGGCGCCACTGAAAGAAGACAAGGAAACAATGATGGAGGGTGGGAAGGGAGCCAGGAAGACACAGAGTTCATCAATTCTTCCCCATCTCCCTCCCTTCCCCAGATGGTCCCAGGTCTTTTCTCAACCCCTTTTAGCTTCCCTTGGGTCCTTCAGGAATAAAGGATCCCTGGAGAACAAACACTTAGGAAAAGGGGACCCTGAAGGAAAGGCTGCCAGACAGCACTGAGTGCTGGGGAGAGGGAAGCCATTGTGGGTATCACTGCTAGATTACCTGTCTTCTCCAAACACGAAAGCTAAAGGCTCCAGCCACCAAAAGGAACAGAAAGAGGACACCGAAGATGAAGACGAGAGAAAGACCACCTGTTTTTAGGGTACCTGGGGTTCCCCAAAAGCGTTGAGGACCTAGGGAGAAAGTACAGGATTAGGGGTAGGATCAGGACTGAAAGGACTTTTTGCCACACCCTCAGAGTTTACATATGCAGACAAGGAGGCCTGAAGAGTTTAAGGGACTTGTCCAGGATCATTCAGCTATTAGTGGCAGAAGTGGGTCAGGCCTAGACTAAAACTGGAGATCAGCTGGTTGGAAAGAAAATGCGGGAGGTGTGGGGAGGAGGCCTGGAAGTAGAATCCAGGTGAGTGTCTACAGTTGGGTTGTGTCCTTTGGGGGAGGGGGGAGTTGCAGACCTGTGCCAGAGAGCTCAGTGAAGTACTCCGCTGTTCCAAGAAGCCTCTCCCCCTGGTACAGCTGGCACTGCCAGGGCTGGGAAAGAAGTCTGGTCTCCTGCACAGACAGCCAGGGTCCTGGGGAGCTCTTCCAAGACTGTTGGTCCAGAGGGCTCCAGACAAAGCGCTCCTGTCCAGATGCCGGAGTCACCTCACAAAGTAGTTTTCTCATGTTGTCAGGTAACTCAAAGGATTTAAGAGTCACTGGAAAAATTAGAGGGGAGATTTCTTTGGGGACACCTCCCCACCACGCTCTTACTTGAAACCATAGGTTGAACTCCCAAGCCTCAATGGCCCTGCATGCTGATTGGGTGAGACTGATGGGAAAATCAGGGTCATGGTCAAATAAATCTTACCCAGTCCCCAGACAAAGCTCTGATCAGATCATTCTACCTCTGAAAACCTTTCCAAGCTCCCTAGTAACTTCAAGACACTGTTTAGACTCAAACTTCCACGGGAAGAACGGTATAACATATATCATTTCAGTTTCTTGTGTATTACTTTCAATTCAAATGCTCAGAATTCCAGTATCATTCAGGTAACTTGACCCCCAGATACCTTGTACTTTTCTTGCCTCCACCACTTGGACATGACTCACATCAGTGCCTCCTGCCTAGAGGTGCTTCCTGAATGAATTCTGGCCCCCTTTCCAAACGTTTAGAGAACAGCGAATTGACCAACTGATCTAGAGACAGCATCCCAAAGACAAGATGGGCTTGGGGGGAGACAAAGGAGAAAGGGCCTTGAGCTGAGTGTGAAGTACGCCTGACTGGGGGATAGACAACTGAGTTGAGACCGCAAGGCTGGCGCTTCCCAGATGTGTGACCTTGGGAGAGCTCCTCTGAAAAGCGGAAGAGATAGTAACTGCCATGGAGCAGTCATGCAGACAGTGTGGTAAAATGAACCAAAACAGCTGGCCCTCAAGAAGACCCTGGACGGAAAGAACAGTGGGCTTTGGGGACTGATGATCTGGCTATGAAGGAAGTAGGGGGGCAGATTTCAGGGTGAGCAGGATACAAGTGAAGTTACCAACTGAAAGGCTAAGTCAGCAAGATGATTGGGTGTGAAGGAAAATGGGGTTCAGCTGGGCGTGGCGGCTCATGCCTGTAGTCCCAGCTACTCTGGAGGCTGAGGCTGGAGGATCGCTTGAGCCCAAAAGTTCTGGGCTGTAGCACACTATGTCCATCAGGTGTCCGCACTAAGTTTGGCATCAATATGGTGAGCTCCCAGGAGCAGGGGACCACCAGGTTGCCTAAGAAGGGGTGTACCAGCCCAGGTTGGAAAATGGGGTTCAGAATGAGACTGAGGGGTAGATATGATGTCTAGGTAGAACTAGCCAGCAAGCAGGTAAAAATCCATCATGGACCCTCAGGGGGTGTATCCTTTGTTCGTGTATCCATGTTTTCATTCAGCCGATATATTTTGCAGCCCCTAATATGTGCTGCTATTTATCGGTCACAGGTGAGTCCTGCAGACACATCAAGCAGTCGTGGCTGACCGTTGCCAATCAATACACGCATACTTTCTGAGAATTTTTTTGTTTGTGTTTGCGTTTGCTTTATACTGTCTTGGAAAGCCCTTGCTCAGTAAATATTTGCTGACCAAGGGACTGAAATTTATTAACTCCCAATCCAGGCCATTTCCTGTAACTTTAACCCCAGCCCTGGCCCCAAAGTGGACGAGGATTCTAGAAATATATCCCACTTCTTGGAAACCATTCAAACTTTTGCCATTTCTCCTTCTACCTTCTCAGACCCTCCTGAAATTCAGAACAGGGGAGTCCCTTAGACATGAGTGGAACGTTTGTCTGGTGACTCAGGGGAGATTTTCAGTTTCATTTTTTTATATGGGGGTGAGAGAAGAAGGGGCCACAAGGGGCAACCTCTGTGACATGCGCCCAGTGGCCTGGCATCATGGGTAGACTGGCCCAGCTTCTGGGCCTGGTCTAGCTCCCCTGGGATGCAGCCACTCCTTTCCCACCTGGGGCTGACCTGTGATGACTGCCAAGGTGATGGTGGCACTGAGCTGCTGCCTCTGCAGATGGACGTGGCAGGTGTAATTCCCGGCTTGGGCCTGGCTCACAGAGTCTAGGCGAAGGGCAAAGTTGCCGCTGTTTCCAGTCACCACAAGGTCGGGGTCTCCGTTGGGAGGGGTCCACTTGGCAGTGAGGGGAAACTGGCTCCCCACCCCAGGAGGCAGGCGGCAGGGCAGCTCTACCTCAGAACCTGCTGCAGCATATACTGTCAGAGGCACTTGGGGCTCCAGACCTGGAGAAAAAGGAACCCCAAGTTAAAACTGAGAGGAGAGGTGCATAGAAGCTGAAGAACTGGGTCTGCAGGGAAGGAAGGAAGAAGAATGAAGCAGGTGGTTCAGAAGAGTACAGGGGACACAGTAAGGTGGAGGAAGTGAGGATGCTCAGAAGCCCCAGAAGTAGGCTGGAGCAGCAGAAGACCAAAGGCCAGCAAGTGAGGCCAAATGGCCAGGGGTAAAGCTCAGAGAGAAGGCAGCAGAAAGCCCACAATAAGAGAAAGGGTCCAGACATAGAGGCCCAGAGCAATCACTGGTGGCAAGAGCTGCCAAGGACCTGTTTGGGGACCTATAAGGCAGGCGGAGATGATGACAGGAGGAAGGGGTTGTGGTCCAGTGTGAAGGCAGACTGGAGGAATTACCAAGGACAGTGAGGTCGTGTGTGATGGAGACACTGGAGCCATCTCTGTAGGTGAGCAAGCAGCCCCACAGTCCAGAGTCCAAGGCGCTGACTTGGGGCAGGAAAAGGAAGCTTCCAGAAAAATGGTGATGAGGGGACTTCAGGACAGGAGCTCTGCCTGGGCCTCGGAACCAGTGTACAGAGGCTGGGAGGTCAGGGCGACTGAAGGAGCAGTTGAAAATGACCCAATCATTGGTCCTGAGAGGCCCTGGGGGGGTGGCAGTCACTGTGCAAGGACAAAGAAGTCTCCATGAGCCCCACCTGAAACATCTCCCTAACACAGTGGGCCAACTAAGCTGGAAGTGCCTGGAAACTAGGACTGCACTGTAGATGTCTTTGTCTCCTGAAATATTCTCCCAAACCCCAGCCCAATGCCTGTTACTTGGAAGTGCTCAAAATGGATGCCCAGAACTCTGCGGCCTCCTTTCTCTGTCTCCAGTTTACTTGGCGTGGGCTACCCTAACCTTTCTCCAGGTCTTTCCTGAGGAGCCCCATGAAGCCCACTCCCTGAGCTACCCCAGTCTGAAATGAATCATTCTAGCCCTTCACGCTCCCTCCCCTCCCACAAAGGGTGCCTCCCCTCCACCAGCCTGGCACTCCCGCTGCGGGTGGGGGAAGGGGACTTCAAGGGGCGATACTATCTCTCCTTAAGGCCCTCCTCCCATACACGTGCTTCTTTCGGGGGCACCTTGCAGCCGCGCTCACGCTCCCCACCTCCTTCCGCTCCCCTCTAGGAGCTGGGGCAGGGCCTAGAGCACGTCCTTAGCCGGCACAGCTGCTGCCCCAGCCCTTCCTGCCCCGGGGCGGCGGGGTACGGGGCTCCCTCGTCCCACCTCTACCTACTCGAGGCCCGGCCCACGCGCAGATGGAGGTGGCAGGTGAAGACGCGGTTGCGGCCCGGGTCCCGGGGCCGGTGCCGGTCCCGTAGGCGCACCGTGGCGCGATACTCGCCGGCATCGGCGCGCTGAGCCGGGCGCAGCCACAGCGAGAAGTCGCCGCGCTGGAAGCCCCGCTCTTGCAGCTGCACGCGAGGCTGCAGGGGCGGCCTCCCGCTGCGCAGGCCCCCGGGAGTCAGCCTCAGCACGGTGTAGCCGCGCGGCCTCCGCCCCAGGCGGAGGGCCGGGGGAGGGCTGGGGGCAGCACCGAGTGGGTCCCTGGGAGGAAGAGAGGAGAGACACTGAGACATTCCTGGGGGGAAGATGCAGCCCAACCACACTTGGAGGATGAGGTAGCCCACCCAGAGGGAAGCTCCCTTGACCATTAGGGGTCCCCAGCCCCAGCCCCTCCTGCTGGGTCAGCACCAACCACCACTGGGCCCGGAGAGACGGAGGGCCCTGTGGGATGCAGATGCCTGGGGAGCAGTCAGCAGAGGAAGAGTGCATAGTGGCAGGTGAGGCTGAACCTGGCTTTCTGACAGCTCAGAGAGTGGACAGAGAAGTGGGTTTCCAGTGGCAATACGATGACTGCTGGTTTTGGGGGGTCTATTGCCCAAGTTTGGGGTGCATACCAGTCTGGGAAATGATGCCAAGTGACTTCTGTTTGCAGCCGGCTGAGATCCTGGAGGGGGATGGTGGAGTTGCACGGGAGCTGGGCAGGTGCCCCCTCCTCAGCCCACACCAACTGGACCTCTGCCCCCGGCGCTGGAGCCCCCACTGGGGAGGAAAAGAGAGAGACCAAGGGGAAGAACCATGAGCCAAGACATTTAGGAATAGAGAATAAACTTCAGAGTCTCCAGAAGGAGAAGCGGCTGAAGAAGGCCCTGGGGTCCTGCTCTTTCCCTTCAAGGGGAGACTGTAGTTGGAAGGACTGCCCTGAGAAAGGCATTTGAAGAATCGACTGCACTGCCAAGGACCTTGGGATCTGTGCAGTCTGAGAGAAGACCTGACTGATCCCCTCCTGTGCGGTGAGCCCCCCACCCAAGGTCAGCCCCATCTTACCTGGAGCCACCCACAGCAGTTGCACCAGCAGCAAGACCAGGAACCGAACCTCCCACATCTCCCCTTAGGCCTGGGTCGCAGGTCACACAGAGCCGGCCCAAGGGAAAGAGGTCAGAGAGGTTCTGCAGAGGGCAGTGGAGGACAGGAATCTAGAGGAAGACAGGAAGGGAAACCTGGAGAGAGAAGAGCTGAGGCCAGAATTCAGAGGAAAGTGGATCCCATCAGGCAACCCCCCCAAAGTGGGGTGGTGGCTGGGCAGTAGCAGAGAACAGAGTGGAGGCAGTGACTGTCTTGAGCTGGGAAGCTGGTCTGCTGCTCCAGAGCCCTTGCCCCTGTCCTTCTGCCTTCCCCACCTTCCCCACTTCCCCTCCCCGGTTGCCCCCCCACACACCCCAGGGCTCACAGTTTCGCTTCGCAGTGGAAAGTCTGAGGGGGTTGATTCCCAGCAACGTTACCCTACCCTGTGGTGGCGCTCCCCTTGTTTATTTCCTCAGCCCTGGGTGTCCCCATCACCCTCCTCCTCCACCGTCCCCACCCTCCTGATTCCATTTCTGCCTGGAAGGGCCTGCTGGCCCATCTCTAAGCTGCATCCCAGCCCCACCATTCATTTTATTCTCTCCTTGGCAAGTCTCTTTTGATATTCATCCCTCCCAAGTTGCTCCTGGAGTTCCACTGCTCTTGTAGACCTGCCATCATCCTCCCTTCACTGACACCTGGGAATAAGGTGGACAGGAAGCTTTACCATACCCTAAAAGATGTCAGGTCTGAGGAGGGTCACCCCGTATCTGGGGGTGGAGTGGGAGAATACCTGTCTTGCATTGAGTCTTTACTATCTGCAAAGCACTGTATCAGACATTTAGCATGTAGTGACTGGTGAAATCTAATATTATCCCCCCATTGTACAGATGAGAAAACCGAGATAAGGCTCAAAGATGAGCTTGTCAAGATCAAACAGCAGGGGAGTGTGACGACAAAACTGCGTGCAAATGTAGCCCTGACTCTGGGTGAACTATGTATAGATATTATATGAGTGGTGTCAATGAGTCACACACACCCCTCCAGCTCAGACGCTCATTTGCTCTAGAGAATGGTAGTGTCAAAGACACACATACACACATGCACGCACGCACCCCTCCAGCTCAGACCCTTGCTTGCTCAGGGGCTTCCCCAATCCAGAGATTGTGAAGTAAGAAAAAGGGCAAGGTTGAGACAGAAAAGCGCAGAAATCCTCCAAGATATCAAACTGGAGAAAAACTGAAGCAGAACTAGGAAAGGAAACCAGAGACTCTTACTCCCCACCCCACCTTGGGAACCACCAGCAGCCCTGGGGAACTCTCCCCTGCCTGGTCAGCTCACCTCCTAGACCAGAGGGTCATGTTTGATGCCAGGCCACTCTCGCTGTCACTCTATGTGTGTATGTGTGTGTCTGTGTGAGGGTCTAAAAGAGTTGACCCAGGCCAACCAGCCCTCTCCCACTTCCTGTTCCGGGGCTGTTTCTTTGCCGGGTTCAGCACAACAGGGTCAGGAGCTTTCCACTGGGCTCAGCAGTGTCTAGACCTGGTGTGGGCCAGCAGAAGTGTGTTTTGCTAGGGTGCGGTATCCCTAAGAACCCAAAAACAGGGTGGAAATCAGCTCTCAAAAGGCTGCAATCCCTGTCCACCTCTGGAGTGCTGATTTTATCTTCTTAAGTGGATGGTGGTACTTTTTTATAGGAGAGATCCTGACAGAATGAGGGGGTCCGCCAACGTGCTCCTTCAAGACCCCTTCCATTACATTGACTGCCCCTCCCCCCCCAAAGCAGGAGACAGGTTAAAAACAGAAGCGCGACCGTTTCTTTATTAAATTATACAAAAAGGGAGGGGAGGGGGGCAGCTGTGGGGCTCGGCCCCAACCCTGGCCCCACCCCGGCCTGGCGCTGTCTGAGAAGGGGATCTGAGGGAGACCCAGGGATCAGGCAGGGTAGGGACGGGCAGGACATGAGGCTGGGATGCAGAGGTTAAGAAGGAGCGGCTATGGCGGAGAGGTGGGCTTGGCTCAGGGAAGGGAGGAAGAGAGCAGGGAGAGGGCAAGGAGCAACTGGGGACCAGCTGGGGAGCTCAGAAGGAGCAGGTTAGGAGGTGGAACAATGGCAGTGAGGATGGAGGGACAGTGACGGAGAGGCAGAAATGAGAAGGCTGGGGAGGAGGAGGAGGGTGGCAGCTCTGGTTCAGGGCCCAGAGCAGGCAGCCAGGTGAAGAGTGGGTGCACTTGTCTGTTCCCACCCCCACCTCCAGGCCCTGAGGGGCCTCCCACCCCCAGCCCATTGGCAGGGGGCTCATGCCGATGCCCCATTTTCTGTCTTCTGCCGCTTGGGATCCGCTTCATCCTGTGGAGAGGGAGAGTTGGGGTAGCTGTAAAATGGGAGAGGGGATCCCCCCATCCTAGCCCAGCTCCAACCTCCCCCTCCCGTGTACCCCCAGGGATCTGGGTCCAAATCCAAAAGGGCACCCAGCCCCTGCAGGTCCCCTGGCAGCCCTTCGGGGCCCACACCCAGCCCAAACCTCCTCTTCAGCAGCTCTTTTCAGCGCGGGCCCTTCATCATCCTCCTCTTCTTCTTCCTCATCTAAGGGGCCAGAAACAGATCATTGGGGAAGGGCAGGGAACTCTGGGGAGACCCCCTGTGGTTGCCCCAGCCCTGCCTCAGGTCCTCAAACCCACCCTGACAGTTCCCTGCAGCCCAGCCTCCCTGCCCTCCCCACCTTCTTCTTCCCCTTCATCCTCCTCCTCTCCATCCTCGGCAGTTTCTTCTTCCTCCTCCTCAGCTCCGTTCTCCTCCTCCTGTGGGGACCAGGAGCGGGACAGAGTGAGGCTGGCCCTGTGGCTCCAACACCACCACCCGCCACTGAAGGAAGGGTTCTGGGCGGGGGATGCAGGAGACCCTCCGCACCTCCACCACTTCTTTCTTTCGCTCTTTCCGGCTGGCTTTCTCCTCCACCTTCTCTTTCTTCTCCTTCAGGTCCTGCAAGGGAGAAAGAGGTCACCTTCCTCTCACCACAAATGATCTGCCGCCCCTACGTCCCTCTCACCCCCGTTCTCCCTCTTCTGCAGTGAGCAGTGGTGTGACAGGCAGAAGGTGGCCACAACTTTAAAACAAACAGAGGCCCCAGGGTCCTTCAGGCCACAAAGGGATTGAGGTTACACACCTCCATCTCCAAGCCTCCAGGGAGGAAAAAAGTGATGAGGAAAGGGGAACAGGCGGCCAAGGTAGCCGCTCACCACCCCCATCAAGTTCTTCCAAACCTCACTGGCTGAAGAGTTCAGCTCAGCAAAGCAAATCCCCTCCATCTGCTCGGAGCCTGGGGCCCCACCCCCTCGTGGTCCCTGCCTGCTTGGTCTGCCCTGCTAGGCCTTTTGTCTACCTCTGGGGCCTTTTCCTTAGTGCTCTCTCCTGGGCATCCCTCCCAGCTTCACAAGCCTTTGTCTCTCTCTGCCTGTGTCCCCTGAATCCTCAGGCTCCTACTTGGCCACATACTGCAGGAATAGGGAGAGCCCCCTAGCACGATTCCTGGCACCCCTCCCACTTTTTCCCACTCCTATCCCAAAACAGTTTAAGTAATTTCCTTCTCCTTATAGGCCATGGAGTGCGCACTGGTGTCGTGGCAGGATAGCTTCCAGGGGGAATGTAGGGAAAGGAGGCTAAAAGGCACATGGAGGGAAAGAGGATCACATGTGGCAGATGAGAGACCAGGACGGAGTCTGGCATGAGATGGGGGAGGTACCTGTCTAGAAGACCCTCCTACCAACGTTCCCCTCTCTCCATCCAGAGCCCAGGTAGATGCTCCCCAGCCAGTCCCCTCTCTCTGGACACCACACTGGCCCTTCCAGTTTCGATTCCAGGCCTCTCCCAAATCCACAATGGGCAGGCACTGAGTGACACTGGGGTGGCTCTGGGTGATCTGATCTGGTGTTGGTGTGCAACTGTGTGTATCTGATTCCATGTGGATGGAAGTTTTCTGTGCAAATCGATCTCTTTGGGAGGGTGTGTCCTCGTTGGACCAGGACTGGGAACAGAAGAGGTAGCTGGTGCAGAATGGCTGGCCAGGAGCGACACCCTATTGCTTTGCCCCTTTAAGGGGAGCACAGAACACCTGACCCTGTCACTTACTCCAGGTTTCTTCTTCCCACTCCTTTGCTGTCCTCATTGCTCTGCCACATGGTAGGCATGGCATTTTTACTACCTGGTGGGCTTTTCCTCCATCCTGCACCAGCCAGGAGAGCCAGGGGGTTGTCAGCTGTGTGTGTGTGGGGCGGGGGGGCACAGCACCAGATCTGTGTAACTTGGGCCTGAGTTTCTCATCTGGGCTAACGGAGGAGGAAAGAGTGCCAGGGAGGCAGACGACCAAGAGACCAAAGTCCAAGGGGCCGGGCCCTCTCCTCCCCTGTCCTGCTGGTCACTGTCCTTCCATGATCCCTTTCCAGGAGGGTATGTGACCCAGGTCTGTGCTAAGCAGCTCTCTGGCCTCATTTACTCAGCACAGGCACACGCACTGACACAGGCTGACACCGATTCACACACAGCAACAGAGGAGCGCCCACGCGACCCGGAGACACATGGCCCGGTGTTTGGGCATCCTGGCACACACTCCAAGACAGCGCAAGAACACGGCGCAGCCGCTCGCACTCACAAAGCGGCAACATGGCTCCAGATCACCTACGTCTCCACATGCACACATGTAACTGACACGGGCAGTCCCACACACTCACTGCATTTCAGACATACAAAGACACCTACTCAGTGAAGTCACATGCCAGCGCACAGCCAGCCCACCGGAGGGCCACACGGCACACCTAGTCAGATTTCCACACACAGCCCCTTTCTCCGCCACCTTTAATCCCACCCGTGTGCCCTTTTCACTTCCCAGGCCTCTGGGAGACCTCTGTGACCGCTCCTCAGCAGAGCCCCCCCCCCCCAAGATCGGGCTCCCAGCCCCCAAACCCTGGCCGAATTAATTTCCCAAAGCGACATTCAGCAAGTTCCCTAGGGAAATTAGAGGAAGGCTGGCAGAGAGGCAAGGGCGAAGGGATGGGGCCAGGCAAGGGAGCTGATGAGCGCGAGGACCGCTCGGCGCAACGCCGCGCAATGCTGAGCCTCTACCTTCGCCTTTCCAAAGGCTATTCCCTCCCCGCTTCTGATTTTTAATAATTCAAGATTCTCTGAGTGTGGGGAGGGACGGAGGTTTATGGAGAGGGCAGAAGGCTGGAGGCCGGTGGAGAATGTACAGAGGGAAGGAGAGGAGGGAACGAGTAAACGGAGCCAGCAGCCGTCCGGGGAGACGGCCGAGCCCCGAGGGGAGGGGCCGAGAGTAGCCTCCCGGGCGCGTCCTGTTTACACTTGAGGCGCCCCCGCCGCTCGGGGAGGGAAGGTGAGCGCCGACTGGAGGCCCGGGGAGAGCGCGCGCGGCGCGGGGCCCGGGCCGGGGCGGCGCGGAGCGGAGGGCGCGCGCGGGCCGCCGGCCGGGCAGGGGCGCGCGGGCCGGGCCGGGCCGGCGCGGGGTGGGGGCGCGGCGCGGCCGGGCGCGGGCCGGGGCGGCGAGGCCGGGCGCCGCGGCGCGCCGCCGGGGAAGCTAGAGGGCGCTGGCGGGAGCGGCGCGGCGCGGGGCAGGCAGCGCCAGGCTGGGCGCGGGGGGAGGGCGGAGAGGGTCCGCCGGGACCCGGCGCCGGGGCAGCGTGGGGCCGTCGGGGGCGGCCGGGGGCGCCGGGGCGCGCCGAGCCGGGGTCGCGCGGGGTCGGGGCCGCCGCCGTCTCCGCCCGTACCTTGGCGCTCAACTCGGCCGCTGCCTCCACGCTCTTCTCCGACATGGTGCCGGGGCCGGGGCCGAGGCTGGCGGGGAGCCGGGGTCCCGGGGCCGGGACGGAGGGGCCCTGGACGGCGGAGGGTGGCCGCGGCCGGAATCTGGCGCGGTGGCGGCGCCGGCGGCAGCGGCAACGGCGGCCGCTCAGCGAGCTGGGGCTCTGGAAGAGGCGGCAGAGGCGCGCGGGGTGGGGCGGGGGTGGGTCCGGAGCGGAGACCCGCAGGGCTGCGGCCGTCCGGAGGGCGGGCGGAAGGGCGGTGCGGGCGGTGGCCGGCGCGCTCCGGCCGCGGTCGCTCGGTCCTCGGCTCGCCGCCCCCGCACCCGCAGAGCTGCCGCCGACCAGCCGCTGCCGCCCCCGGGAAGGGAACCCGCTTATAAAGGCGGCGCTGCCCGACGGGAGGGGCTTCCCAGGGGTGGGGCAGGCGGGAGCGGGGAGGAGAGGCGAGGGGAGGGGGATGAAAGCGGAGGTTGGAGAGGTGGGGATAGGAGGAAGAAAGCGAGGGGAGGGAGAGCGAGAGCGGCGGGAGGGGGACCAGACCAGGAGGGGGAAATGGAGAGACTGACGGTCGCGGAGAAAGGAGTGGGGCCAGGAGGTGGGAAGGGGTGGGGTTCCTGCGGGGAGGGACCTCTCCAAATACCGACCTACTGCCGGCGAGCGAACGTGGAGTCTGTCTTTTGGGGGCGGGCTGGAGGGAGGGCCAGAATCCTACTGACCCCCCAAAAAGCCTTGAGATTTTGCCAAGGGATGGGGGGGGGGAGCAGATGGAAAGGCTGGGCAGGTATTTGAGAAACCAAAAGCTTAAAGAAAAGGAAGAGGGCGGGGGAGCTACTTCCACATGGCGCTGGATTTCCCCTCTCTCGTCTGTGTCTACATTCTCAGGGTGGCCTTGGGAGAGGATGGGAAGGCAGAGAGGGCAGCCCATCCTCTGTCCAGCCTGAGGCTGACATTTGTGATCCCTGCTGGGTTCCTCCCTTCCTGGCGCGCTCTTGTGATCTGAGCGGAGTCAGAGGCCCTCCGGTCTGCATCTTCCATATTAGATCGCTCTTCACTCGCCTGTCTCTCCTCACTTCTCTTTGCCTGATCCTTGTAGTTTTCAACCCTTCTCGCTCATCTGTACCCAGACCCGTCCCTCACCACCGTTCACCTCTCTCATCGCCTGTCCTCTCTTCGCCACTTCTCGTTTCCACTTCCACCTTCCATCCCTCCTTATCTATCCCAGACAACTGTTCTTGGCATATCCAGTCCTTCACCTGGCCCTAGACCCTTAGCTAATTTCCTCTTGTTTATGTCCCTTATTTTTCACATTTTCCTTCTCCCTGAGTCTGCTGCCACCCCCCCACACACACACCCCCCCCCCCGCAACGTTTCGGTCTTATATTTGCCTCCTAAAAGAGGGCCCAGGTCTGGAGTACCAGCCCCACCCTATCCCAGGCATCCTCAGTCTCAGTATCTTTGGGTCATTTTGAAAAGCTTGGGATTTCAGAAGCAGACAAGACCTGGGGAGTCTAGAAGGGTCAGGAAGGTGGAGGGAGTGGAACACGTGGGTTTGAGAAAAAGATGTCTTGGGTCTGTGTGCACTTCCATATTTGTCATTCTCACTAAGCATCTTTTAAAATCATTTTCCTAATAAAAAAAGACATACATGGATCTGCCATCATCATTTAACGCTGAATGTTTAAATACACCACCTTTGGGGCCCTTGGTCTACACACCTCCCAGTTTCTTTTTTCCGACTTTTCTATTAGTTTCTCATTCTTGGCCTCTTCAGAAATCTTGGAGCCCCACCCAGATTTTTCCTCGCGGAACTCTGTCCATCTTTTCCTGAGATCTTCCCATCTTTCCCTCAATCTGTGTCTCTGACTCACTTGCTGATGTCTTTACGATCTCTGACCGACTCCATCTCTGTCCCCTCTTGCTTCATCTCCCTCCCTCTCCCCCCCCCCCCCCCGACTCCCACCCTCCCCGGCCCTCGCAGTCTCCCGGTCTCGCTCCCTCCCGTCAGTCTCTTTCCCCTCCCTCCTACCCTCCTTTCCTCTTCCCTCCTCTCCACCTCCCTGTCCCGCCTGCTGTCTCGGACACCCTGCTGGGCTCTTACCCTGTTGCCCTGGTAACCACCCCCCACTCCGGTCACCTCCACTCCCCTCCCCCTTCCAATCACCGCCACCAACAACCTCCATCCACCTTCCTCCTATTTTTCCTGAGAGCCAATAGGAACCCTGTTGCCAGGTGGAATGCTCATTTGAATCAGCCAATCCAGAGGCCTAACTGCTTGTCCTGCCTTATATGGGGATTTGAGGAGGGCCACTCCCCCCACTCCAGCCCCACAGGGGACCAGCCCCTCCACTGTCCTTTTCTCCCCTCCCTGGGAGCGCCAGGGACCCTCCCTCTTACCCTGCTGGAAAGGTCTGGCCCCCTATTTCTCCAACGGGGACCCCCAGGGTCAGTGGGGGTGGGGGGCGGTGGGGGCCGGACTGTGGGCCGGGCCTCAGGGCCGGGGGTGGGGATGAGGTGTGATTAGGGAAGGGGAGGCGGAGGGAGCCGGGAATTTTGCCCAGGGAGGGGTGTCTGGGAGCGGAGGCAGCTGCAGTGGAAAATTCCAGGGAGAAGGAGAGGCAGAGAATGGGAATCCTGCCCCAAGGCTCAAGGGAGCGCCTTGAGAAGCGAAGAGTTTGGACACTGGCGTCCACAGGGACCACGGGACAAAGATCCACGAGAGGCCCCGGGCTCGCGTCCCAGCCCGCGGGGGAGACGCGCCCCGTGGCCGTCCCTGTCTGGTTGGACAGCGGCCCCGTCTCCTGGACTCTTAGTTTCATGAGAAAAACGCTGGACGTGAGAAGAGATGAACCGGGAATGAGTGGGAAGTCGAAAGCCACCTCCATTGTCCTTGGGGTTGGTCTCCCCGCCTCTGGAGCCGGCAGTGCCCAACTCTCCAGCCTGCGGCTGCCCTGCCCGGGGCACCGCTGAGGCCTTGTGGAGGCTTGCCCGTTCCTCGAGCTCTTACTCCACAGTCTGAATGAGAATGTCTCCTAGTAGTTGAATGGGGAAACCCGTGCTTCTTACACATTTTCTGAAGGTGGCAAAAGGAGGCCAGGTGAGAACGAGGGAAGCCTGAGCCGCCCGGAAACCATGACTTCCAGCTCGACGGCCTAGACATGAACCTCGCCACAGTGTGGAAGGCGTTCGATTCTAATTATTTCCATCTCATTCTTAAGTGAATTCTCCCTCTCTGGCTTCCTGGGTTTTTTTCAGTTTGCCTGTTTATCTACTAAGCAGGTTTTCGTGAGCAGTTCAGTTGGACTGTGAACTGCTCACCAAAACCTAGGGATCACAAGGGAGGGAAGGAAAGTTGGACCTGACTTTTCCTTTGCTTTTCAAAAATGTGTCTTTGGGGGCCTCCCTGGTGGCGCAGGCAGTCGAGCAGAGCGCTGTGAGGCTGTCTACAGCCTCTGCACTGCGGGTTCGGTCCCCTCTGGCATCGTTGCTACCCACACATGGCACAGCAGACCTCTCCTGTCTTCCCCGCTGCTCCCTTCAGCAGTGTGTTTCAGTCGGTCTGCCTGTTCTGCTCCCCGATCTGTCTCTGGTAAATCCTCTCACCCCCCACACCTCTGGCCTATACCACGGGTTCTTGTATGCATAAATAAATAAATCTTTAAAAAAATGTTTTTTAAATAAAAATGTGTCTTTGGGGGAGGGAAGTAAATAAAAATTTATCTTTCCAAAACTCACATCAGTGGAGATTTGAGAGGAGGTGGACTCCTACAAAGAGGTCTCAAGGAACCTAACTTTGATCATGGTGGAGTGTGTTGCTCCTAGAGTGTTACTTAAGAAATCACCTTCAGGGCCTCCCTGGTGGTGCAAGGGATTAAGCACTGCACTATGAAGCAATCCTCAACCTCTGCAGCATGAATTCCATTTCTGGCTGGCCAGGGAGCAACCTATATGGTGAGGCAGACCTCTCCTGTCTTGCCCGCTGCTCCCCTCAGCAGTGTATTTCAGTCAGTCTGCCTGTTCTGTTCCCCACTCTGTCTCTGGTGAATCCTCTCACCCTTCAATTCTCTGCCATGTATCCCAGCTGTTGTATGCATAAATAAATAAATCTTAAAAAAAAAAGGAAATCACCTTCACAACTATTGTTGCACATGCCTCATGAGCACTACTCATCAAGTGTTCTCCTCACTTCTAAGCCCCAACAAATTTTCTTTTTACTCTCTGTCTCGAGCTGGAACTGCTGTACTTCAATAAACTTGTTGAGTTCCTATAAATGTTAGACTGTGCTATGTGATGGAGACACAAAGCTCAATGAAAAAAACCCAGTTCCTGCCTTAAAGGAATACATGAAGGGGGCTCAGTGAGTACAACTTGACAAGAGAGGTGTATCCAGCACCTTCTTTCCATTCATCAGCCCGTTCAGCACTCTGTGCCATCCCTATGGGCTCTCCACTTCAGGAAGGTCGCCCTGATCTCTCCTGATTTTGCAACCCCTTATCCCAAAGCCCAGCTGCCTTCGTTGGTTCCCACACCCTTACTGATTATCCCTTGTTTATTTCCTAGGCCCTTACACGCTGTTTTGGACTCAAAAGCAGAGCCCTTCCAACCTTCTCGAGTAGACTATAAAAACACACACCCTGATGCAGTATGGACCTGCCTCCCTCTGACTTAGGATCATCTCCTGGTGGATTCTGTTTTTACATAGTATGTAAATCACAGCCAGAGTTTTTGTGGCTTCTATCAACTTCCCCAAGGCTTCCACTTCCTCTGAATTTTCTCCCTGGCAAAAAGGGTTAGTTTAACTATCTATCTCTCCAGATTCTTCAGCTTTTCTAATTCTCTGTATCCTTCTTCATGATCTCTTTCACTTCCGTCGCTACACTAGTTTGCTGTCGCTCAGTCTTCTAGTTTCTTCCCATGTGCACTATGGTCACAGAGTCTTCAAAAAGAAGTCAAAAGGAAAACATTTATAGATGCTTTCTGGCACTGGCGAATGCAATTCTCGGTGATGATAGAAATACTGTATACAGGCACTTTCCAACAATGTGGCCACTAGCCACACACAGTTATTGAACATGTGAAATGTGCTAGTGCAACAATTTTTTTAAAAAAGATTTATTTTATTTATTTACACATACAAGAACTGGGGTGTAGGCTAGAGGCGTGAGGCCGGGAGTGAGAGGATTCACCAGAGACAGAGTGGGGAGCAGAACAGGAGGATTAACTGAAATACACTGCAGAGGAAAGCAGTGTCTGCTGGGTCATATGCCGGGTTAGCTCCCTGGCCAGGGTGCTGCAGTGGCTGCAGAGAGCTTGATAGTGCTGAGACTTAACCCCCTGTGCCACCAGGGACGCCC